CAAGTAGTGTTTAGATATTACTAGCATACTTCAGGACAATGCTCTTACATCACCTGTCAGAGACCTGCTGGGATTCGTCTATTGGCTCTGTGCCATGCATGCTTATGGTTTTGTTTTGGTTTTTTTTTTTTTTTTTTAAATTATCTATCAACTTTTTATTGAAATCTTTTGCCTTCAGGCTTTTGAGGTAGTGGCCCAAGTCCAAGAACTTTGGTGCTGTGCCTAAACCCATGTTTGGCCACATGCACACACAAATCCTGCTTAAGGAAGAGCAAAGTTTACACCCCAGAGAATACCAGTCATGTTTCAGCTCTCTACAGATGGATTATAATGAAGATTCCATCACATTTACAGATCCTGTTCCCTGAAATGTTAATATCCCCTCTTCTCAAAGGATCCTTCTGCCATTTCAAGGCTGATAGAGAGATCATTTTAAATGATAAAGACCATATCAGGATGCTTGACAAAACCTATTATCAAAAACGGAGTATACACCATAATTAAATCATACCCAAAAACTGACTCCCAAGTATAGTCACAAAGACAAGAGTTTAATGTTGGCAAAAAAGAAAAGTTTAAGTTAGTGGTATTTTCTTCCTTGCAATAACATACTGGTCATATGAAAGTCACCGGAGAGGTCTGCTTATAGCTCGGAAGACTTTTACAGTTACAGCTGAATTCAAAACCCTAACTCCAAACGCATGATGTTAACACAAAAACTGAAAATGTAAAACCTGGGATAAAGAACAAACTCAGTTGTCAAGATGCTAGCAGAGATATGAGGCCTTTCAACCCCTTTACCATAACATAAGAAGTTCTTCAGTATCTTTCCCACCACCATTATTTCAGGATTCACAAGGTTCTTTAAAATACGAATGGGGTAAATTGAAACCAAGCGCCCTCTGCTTGTAATGTCTTCTGTGAAAGGTCTGAAGCCACCCTGTTTCAATTATTTGGTTATTCAGTGCAGAAAGTTAAAGATCACAGAAGGTATAACAGTTTTTAATATTAATATTATAGATTAAAAATTATTGCATAGTCTTATGCATTTCCTAAAACAATGTTCTGTGGAAATGAAACATTTTAATATAAAAGGATCAACTCTTTAAAACAAATTGTTTTCACTACCTCGATCTCCTATCTTTTTTTGATTTGTCAGTACATTTGTCCATTGTTTTCTCATTGTCTCCTCTGCACTTGGGGCAATACCACTTTCCCTTTGGTTTGTATGTGAGTCCAACACAGGAAAAGTGGAACCACTCAATAGGGCACTGTTCGTTGTCACATCCTATCATTTCGCCATAAGACACTTGGTTGCATAAGCAGTAAGTTGGTTCATTTGGATCAATTGCAAATTCTACAGGTGAAACTTCTCTCTCCTGTTTGGCTTTGGAGCGTTTTTTCTTCTTGGAAGATTTTGATCTTTTCTCTTTAGGTGGCTGGTCATCGCAGTCATCGATACCATTTGCTATGTGGCACAGGTCGCGGCTTTCGCTGGTTCGCTGGCGACGAGGTCTTCGGGAAGATCTCTCTGGCTGGCAGGACTCCATCTTGGCCTTTTCTAGAGGCTTTTCGTTCTCAGACAGATCTTGAAAGCACTGAGAGTGTGTTTCCATTTGACGGGCTCTGTTCTCTACCAGTTCTAGCATCTGAGTAACTATTTGAATTTTTTCATCTCCAAGTTCTTGACTGTTGATTAATGCACGCTGAAGATGCTGCTGCAAGCGTTTCTTCTGAACAGGATCGTTTTCAGACTTGTATTTTTCATAGACGTCATCTATTTCTTTTAACGCTTCTATAAAATAAAAATAATCATAGGAATAATTACACAAGATGGAACATGCTCAAGAAAACAAATATATTTCTAACTGATGAGAAATAGTACAAATCTTAATTGTAGTATACCCTAGTGGGTTAGACTGAATATATTATTCAAGTGCATGTGGTCATCAAATCAGTGTTTAAGGTAACAATCTGTTGAAAGAAAATATACTCATGTTCTAAGAAAGAGCAAGCTTATTTTAGCCATTGGAAAAAGAAAGGGTAACACAAGAGAGGGGACACGATAGTTGTTGAGGCATGGATCATCCAGATCCTCCTTCCATCTGAAACAGAAGGAGTTTCTCTTAAGAATCCTTTCCACAATAATTCCAAAACTCGGCCAGCAAACCAAAGCAATAGCTTATTTTATCACATGAAGAATCCTGAAATTCATAGAATTGTCATGTATCATGATATATAACACTCCAGAATTAGTTTATCCAGGTCTTCTGCCTTCCCCTCTTATTCATCTCAAGGTTTGGCATTACATTTTCAAGTAGACATAGTTATAAAAAGGAATATGACAACTGAAGTTATATAATAGCAAATTTACAATCAGAATGAAAAACAACTTACACCCCTCAGAACACTTTCCCTATTGCCAAAACAAATTACAGCAAGCTGCATTTTACATCAGGGTTGAACTTTTCAGAATAGGTGACCTTCTCTTTAGTGCATCATAGGATATTTTTAAGCAACTAGTAAATGAGTGGCTCACAGTTTTCCCAAGCTTTCCCTCTTCCAAGTCACACAAAATAACTGCATGAGTTGCTGTGAATCTTTCACTAAATTTAGTTCTAAGAAGCAAGTTGAATGAACCCAAATAGGAGATCAAAAATGTCTTATAAATCAGTCTTAGTCTATACTCTGCTGTTCTTTATTGCTGGATTTTAAAATTACTTTTTCCAAGCCAAATGTTACAATAGATCTACACATAAAGCACAGAGAAACTCCTAACAGGGAAGGAAATAATTAGAAGAGCTGACAGTGAAACTTGATGTACGGTGTTAGGTACAGTATTGGTTCAGTCAGAACTTAGGATTTTATTTGAACAGGTAAGGGAGTTTATAAATGGTACTAAATTATTTACTTCTAAAGCAGAAGTTTTGCATTACAATCTATCTCTTCCTAAAGACCTGCATTTAAATAATTTGCTTTCATTTTAAAAGAATTTGTCTGTACTGTTGTGAAATTATTTAAGCTTGTTAACATCATTCCTAGTGATTTTTTTTCCTGTTGATATCTTAGAACAGTAGTTTAAGCATGAACAACTGCTTTTTACTATAAATTCTGAAACCTGTATGACAACAGGAGCCCACTGCATTTTGTTCTGTTCCAGACTTTCACTAAGGTGAGATAAAAATCACTTCTCTGGCCTGTCCAGTAACTTAACCTGTATTTTCTGTATTTTAATATCAGCATTCCAGCTACCTTTTAAACCATAAGCTTTGTGTCCATGTACCTTCAGCTGCATCACTTGCCTGTTGCCCTGACAAGAGAAATAAAATTTTAAAAAATCTTACTGTTGGCTCCTGAAAAGCATGGAGTAGGGTACTTTATATACTGTTGAACAAGAAAGTGTGGTTGTACAATACTGTACTCTGGTTATGCTTATCTCCCACCCAGACTTCTTTTTTTGGAGGCAGGAGTGTAGGTACAGATAGATTAGATAGATTTCCTATATTGGGAATGCCCTACCCAGAACCATTCACAAACAGTAGCTCGTTCCTGCTGTGAAAGAGAATAATATTCATCCTACATCGGTTACTGCCCGGATGCAGCCTGGGAAGACATGCTGAACTTTACATGGATTAACATCCACTAAAGAGAGCAAAGAAGTTTTGGACTGACAGAGATGGAAGTTTACCAAACTTCTTGTAAATCTCCAAAGATTAGACAAGGCATTCATACACCCTAATACACAGCTCTGAAACCTCTGTTTAAAAAAAAAAAAAAAAAACCCAAAAACCCACAAACAAAAAACTGCAACCCAAACCAGGGCCAAGTGTTCATTACAGATAATCTGATTAAGTTTGGTGGAGCTAATAAAAGCTAAAACTATTTGTTTTCTAAGCAAAAGAAGTGACTTTTTCCCTCCTCCACAGACCGTCATTACCTTTTAAATTAGCTGAAATAATACAGCATTGCTTTTACGTTTTGAAGATTTTTTGTTGTTGCCTTTTTTTTTAACAATTGAAGGCTTTGGTTAAAACTAGCAATAAATTGCTTATATGACCCAGTATTGGCTAGGTAAATACACAGCAATAAACAGTCTAATGAAAATATTTAATCTATTTAAGTCTGAGGATTGCTGGCTAGTCACCATGGATCAGGAGGTAAAGAGCCAGCCTTGACTAGGAATTCTAAATGCTGCAGGCAAGTCTATGCCATTTAAACTTTAAAATCCCAGGCAACTTACAAAAGCCTGTTCTTATGTGTTTTCTCGGGTAATTAGAAAGATAATTGAAAGAATCCCTTCACAACAGCTGCCTCCTGAGGTGGCCCTTCAACGTCTAAGAGGCCCTGACGGTCCCCATGGTCCCCTCCTGCCCACGCCGGAGGAGGGAGATGCGGCTCCAGTGCCGACTCCTCGGGATCAAATTCCTGCCTCCTGGCAGGGGCCGGCTGGCAGCTGCCCGCCACCGCTGTGCCCCGCAAACTCCGCGGGGCGCAAGGTCTTGAATCGGCACTGAACTTGCCTCCCGAAGGAGCCTCTGGATGAGGTTTAGGGCAACTTCCCGCTCCACAGCCTCCCTCCACAACCCAAGGGAACGCTGCTGGCGCTTTCTGTATCCCCGCCCCCACCGTCTACCGTGGGACGGGCGCTGGGCTCCGCCGGGACACCGCCCCCCGGCTCCGCACGGCGGGAGGAGCTGCGGGGAGGCCGATTTCCGGACCCCACCTCCAGCGGCAGTGCCGCCGGTTCGGGCGGCAGGGCTGCCCGGCGGGGCGGAAGCGACCCCACACGGCGGAGCCGGGGCCTAGCGCCGGGCAGCGCGGCCCCGCCGGCCCCGAGGCGGGGCGGCCTTCCCCGGCACCGACCGGGCGCCGGGAGCCCCGTGCCCCCGCAAGCTCAGCCCCGCGGGGCCCCAGCAGCGTTTCACCCCGGCCCCGGCTCCTCCGCGCCGGGCGCATGTGCGGCGGCTGGAGGCCGTCCCCTTTCCCCTTTCCCCGCCGCCCGGTGCCCCGCGGCGGCGCCCACCTTGGCACTGCGTGTCCATCTCCCGCAGCAGCGAGGCGTTGCGCTGGATGTCCAGCGGCAGAGACTCCACGCACTCCAGGTAGTCCTGCACGTAGAGCGAGAGCAGCCGGGCCCGCTCCCCGCCCGGCGCCGCCGGCCCCGCCACCAGCTGTGGCCCCGCCAGCATCATCCCCCCGCGCCAGCAGCACATCCGCCGCCGCCGCCGCGCCGCCCGCACCGGGCGCGGGGTCCTTGCGGCGGCCCCGCTCCCTTCTCCGTCTTCTTCTCCTCCTCCTCCTGCCGCCGCCCCGTTGCCCTGGGGCGGCCGCGCCCGGGGGGCGGTGGGCGGTGAGCGCTCGCCGGGCCGGGCCGGGCCGGGCGGGTGTGACCGCCCCGCCGCGGGGTCCCGCGGGTCGCGCGCCCCTTCCCGCGGTGCCGCCGCCGGAGCAAAACCCCCGCTCGGCGCCCCCGCCCCTACCCGCAGCGCGCATGCGCGAGGCCCTGCCCTTATAAGGCGCGGCCGGCGGCGCTGCCAGGGGTTCGCATTCTCCCGCCTTCCCCAGGCGCGCGCTGCCATTGGCCCGGCGCGCGGCGAGGGGCGGGAGCGCGCTGGGGGGCGGAGCCTCCCATAAAGGCGCCCGGCGGCTGCGGCGCTTCCGCGCCCCGCGGAGCCGCCACGGCGAGGGCACCGCTGCTCCTGCCCGCGGTACGAGCCGCCTGATCTGTCTTAACTTAAAGAAGAGCACAGAGGATTTGGGGTGAGCTATTAGTTAGGGAGGCTGAGTGACATGTTTATCCTGAGAAATCATTTCAAGAGTATTTTAAATAAGGTGTCAACGAATTTTGGCCTTTTAAACGCCACTCGCCAAATAGCAAATCTCAAAAATTTGATAGAGTAGCCTGTCTTTCCCATGCCCGTTGCAGAATTTGTATCAAATCTTGGCCACAACAATTATAGTAGGAAACAAAAGTTAAATTACACTTTTTAACTATATACTAAAATGTTGAGATTTCATCTCCACTTCTCTTTGAGACATTTTTCAGGTCTTTACTACATGAATAATAATTGGTAAGCATGAGGAAAAGAAAATTATTTGGTCGAGTCTTGAAACACCCTGAGAAGACCTGCATATTTTGCATTGTTTCATTTATATTTTAGGCATCAAAAAAGATATCTGGGGTAAATGCATATGGTAAATGTAACAAAAAAACAACCAAACAAAAATCAATCAGAGATGACTGATTCAGGAATAAAATTGAAGAGAAGTGAATTCAAATCCCCAGACTCCCTTCTGTCTTCCATTCCTACCTCTAGTTGAGCAGGCAGCACTAAAAGAGTACCCACACTAATCTTGTAGCATTTCAGAATGGCATGATCCGGAGTAGTGGTGAAGCAGCAGCACAGTTGCACAGAGAAGTTGCATCATCTCCATCCTTGGATATTTTTCGAGCCTCCCTGGATGAGGCCTGACACAACCTGACCGGGCTGTGAAGCTGGCTCTGCTTTGGTGGACTCCCAAGGTTCCCATCCCGACTCCTTTTTCCTGGGATTCTGTCTCTGTGTGGCCTGCGCCAAATAGCTCCGTGGCTACTCCTACAGGAAAATGAGTATCTCACATGATGGCAGTCTGCAAGTGTTATTTTCTTAAGACCCTAGTTCACAGAACTATTTAAACATTGCTAACTTCCAAGTCTCGCAGCTGCTAGGCAGGTGTTCTACATGGCAGGCATTTTTATATGTCTGCGTCCAAGCTGTTGAGCAATTGTAGCTGCAATCAGTCAGCTTTGCCCAAGTCAGCAATGTGTTGGCAAGGTCATAAAAATGAATGAAAACAAAGTTAATTGGTAAGCATGAGGAAAAGAAAATTATTTTGTCGAGTCTTGAAACACCCTGAGAAGACCTGCATATTTTGCATTGTTTCATTTATATTTTAGGCATCAAAAAAGATATCTGGGGTAAATGCATATGGTAAATGTAACAAAAAAACAACCAAACAAAAAACAATCAGAGATGACTGATTCAGGGATAAAATTGAAGAGAAGAAGTGAATTCAAATCCCCAGACTCCCTTCTGTCTTCCATTCCTACCTCTAGTTGAGCAGGCAGCACTAAAAGAGTACCCACACTAATCTTGTAGCATTTCAGAATGGCATGATCCGGAGTAGTGGTGAAGCAGCAGCACAGTTGCACAGAGAAGTTGCATCATCTCCATCCTTGGATATTTTTCGAGCCTCCCTGGATGAGGCCTGACACAACCTGACCGGGCTGTGAAGCTGGCTCTGCTTTGGTGGCCTCCCAAGGTTCCCATCCCGACTCCTTTTTCCTGGGATTCTGTCTCTGTGTGGCCTGCGCCAAATAGCTCCGTGGCTACTCCTACAGGAAAATGAGTATCTCACATGATGGCAGTCTGCAAGTGTTATTTTCTTAAGACCCTAGTTCACAGAACTATTTAAACATTGCTAACTTCCAAGTCTCGCAGCTGCTAGGCAGGTGTTCTACATGGCAGGCATTTTTATATGTCTGCGTCCAAGCTGTTGAGCAATTGTAGCTGCAATCAGTCAGCTTTGCCCAAGTCAGCAATGTGTTGGCAAGGTCATAAAAATGAATGAAAACAAAGTTGTAGATAGTGCTTTCAAAACATCCTTTACTATACTGATGTCACTCTGGCCAAAAAAACAGGAAGTCTGTAATTCTGTGTTCATGTTCTTAAGAGTGCACCTTCATCTTAAAATGAACAGTTTGAATTTACAGTGTAACACCTGTAAAACCAGCTGCCTTGCTACTTGTCTCCTTTTTGCACTAATAGATTTGGAAAGTGGCAATAACCTGGTTACCTTGGCTTCCATGGGCACTAACTCACTGAGACTTTACTGTGTAGCGTTCATTGCTGTCACTTCTGAGTAACTGAAGTAACTGAAGCCTGAGTTTTTGTATACCGTATTAACAGATAACACTGTACAGGAAAAAGCACTACCTGTATGCCAGTGAAAAGGACCTGGATAAATATAATTGATACAATATTCTTGAGAAAGGTGTTGGCTCTTTTGAGGGGTTGTGTTTCTGCTTATAGTAAGTTTGAATGGGTGTAACATTCTGCCATCTCATGAAGAAATGGAGCTAATAAGATTCCCCTACAGAGCAGAAAAAAATAAAGCAAAAATGTTCATTCTAAATTAACATGTTATTTTAAATTAAATGTTAATTACTATTAAGTATGAATTTAAACCAAACATTTTGGCTTTTTTTTTTTTTTCTCACAAGAAACTGTGCATGCACTATCAGTAAAGAAATAGCCAAGAAAATAATTCATAACATTTGTTACAGGTGGTTTCTGTGCTAAAAGCTTGCTGTTTGTCACTATGGGGGAGACCGTATCTAAGGTACAGGAGACATTAGCTAATGACTTCTAAATTTAAGTGTTGTCTGCTGCTTTCAAACACTAAAATAAAAATTTAAATTTTGGGGTACCTTAATAACACAGCAGTGGCACTGGACCAGATTTCTCTAGGAAAAAAAGAAGACTTAGCTTGCTGCATGTTTGAAGCATCAGGGGAAAAGAAAGCAAGAAGAGCTGATTGAATTCTCTGCTTTGCTCATGCCTCAGAATGGCTAGGAGCAAGCACAGGAGAATTTTGATGTATTGGGCTCAAGTTTGCAGGTTGATTGATAGCTCTGAGAACCAACTGTGTCCCTTCTTTCACTGTCTGTATGTGAGAATAATCTGGAGATAGGAACAGGCATGGTAGAGCAAAACCTGGCTAATTGTAGAGATGGACAGGCAGAGTGATCACACCAACCCTCTCTGCTAAGTGGGAAACTGTCAGCTTGAGGCTGACATGCACAGGGATGTGATATTAGGCTGTACTGCATCAAACATATCTCAGTAGTTGTCTAAAAGGGTAAGCAATACAGAGAGCTCCTATATCCAGTTTATTTAGATTTATTTATATATCTGTAAACTAATACCAGTTTTCAGGGAGAATAGATCCCAACTGTTTTTGTTTCTTTACAATTACCAGTATAGGGTTTTAAAGTTCCAACCAGAGTATTCCTCTTCTTTTTGTGAAAGATGATCTTATTATATTACAGATTTTACTATGATAAAAATATTTCCAGAGATTTAATCCAACTCTTATTTTCTCCAGTTAAAGTTTTGCCTCTCATCTTTCATAATCCTGATTTTAAAACCTCAAAACACAGATAATTCCTGTCCTGTTTCACATAATAATACACAAGTTGGTTAGGGTTTTTTTTCTTTTGATTTTGGTTTGGTTTGGGTTTTTGTGTTGTTTGTTTTACTTTGGGGTTTTGTTTTGGTCTTTTGTTGGTGGGGGGGATTTGTTTGTTTGATTTGGTTTGGGTTTGGTTTTATTTGGTTTGCTTGGTTTTGCTTTTTTTTTTTTTTTTTCCTTGCTTTCTGTTGATAACCCAGGAAGTGTTTCAGGCTGTGGAAAAAGAAAAGCAGCATTATTGATGAGGACAAGTCCACAGGGGGCTGTAATTGTGAAAGACCTTCTTAGCATTTAGTAGGAATGCTCAAAGGATGACAACAAGGTCCTTTTTTAAGCAAAAGAACTGATTTTTGATGATATGTATTTCTTGTCAGAAATGCTTCTCTGTCTTCCATGAGATGAAAAGGATGAAGAATTGTCCGAGATACCACAAAAATAAACAGATTTAAAAAAGAATGAGTACAAGCCAGATGGGCTTCTTAAGGGTCAGCTGAAAGAAGCAAGAGGCCATAGCAGAGTTTTGTACAGGTGATATTCTGGGAAGAGGCTATCCTTGCCAGAGATACTACTGTGTTTGACCAGGTAAGCTATTCTCAAAAGCTTCTCTAACATCAGGTCATCCAAAAAACATACATCCCTGTAATGCCAGACATTGCTTTTTGTTTTCTTTAAATATTAGACTTGATTTATCTGGTGGAATACAAATCATATGAATTCACTATTATTACTGTTTTTCTCTTTCATTTACACAAGTGTAGAATACTTAAAAATAAGACATGGGTTGACAACAGATAATTTCAATCAGATGATAAACTAAACAGTACTGAAAATACTGGGATGTGCTTTTTTCCCTGTTAGCTTCATCCTCAACTGTACCAAAGAGCTTTCTAGTACCAAGTAACAAATATCTTGCACTTATCAGGAGATATATGTCCTTCCTCATCCACAACACCTACTCTGTTTTCTGCCAATATGCAATAAAACAAAATCTCTTCCTGAATCTGACTTAGTAACCAGTTGACTTGTGTTAACATGGGAAAGAGGGCAGCCACACTATCCTGCTCAATTTTTTCTTTAAGCAGAGATAGGTTCTGCTAATTTCACCATGAGCAGACTGAAAAGGGGACTAAAAAGTGCAGACTAAGTTTACTCTTTGCTTTGTTTTGTAATAACTGTTTGTTTATTACGGTTCTTCATATTCAGTTTCCGTACTCTAATGCCACAGCAAAAAGTGTTTTGAGAAATTGGTAGGCCCAAGGCAGGACATGTTAAGAAATCCACTTATAGATGACTTCATGGCTTTCATCAGAGCATACTGACACATTTTCACTTTGTTTTGAGTAGAACCACACTGTTCCTTTTTGAGGCTATCAGCTCTTTTTGGAATACCCTCTGGAAATCAGTACAAGCTGGACACCACCAGCTTCTCACAGGTGCTATGGAACCTTGGCTGGCATAGGAGCTGCAGCTCCTCAGAGGAGGGGAATATTGCTGATCAGCTGAGGGGCAGCATCTGGCCACTGCAATGATAGCACCACATGGATCATTCCCTGTCATTTACAACATGGATCTGTCCACTTGTGTCTCAAGTAACACTTCCCTGTATTTCTCTCCAGGAACTGCTTTCAGACAGTAACTCCTCTTCCTCAGCTACTGTTATAAAGCAGAAATTATCTGTGGACTTGGTTTCCAGCTCTACAACTGATCATCACATGAAAAACCTCAGGAGGTGTGCAAATGATGTTTAGGGAAGCCAAGTTAGAAATGGTAACAAGGTATTCTTACTGCATTTTCAGCCATCTTTCTTGTCTCACCTCAGCCCTGAAACCTGACCCTCTTTCATTCTAATAAGTGGAAGAATCCACATGAATTTAAGGGAAAAGAACCAAGACCCTTTTGCACACAATAAAGAAAGGATTTTTGTGTGTTCCTACCTGAGGTACCCACTGACATGGATGCTGCATTTCTGTGATTTTGTTTCTCAGCACGTCACGTGAAAAACACATTCTTACTTCTTCCTTTTGTGAAGAACATATTTACACTTTGTAATCAAGATTATTAAATGAGGGCGGGCAGCACACCTGCAGAAAGTTTAAGAAAAGAAAGTGGGTGATAGTTTAAGACATTCATAATACTCTCCTATATGCTAATGTTAATTTTTCTTTCCAGCTCAGGAAATAAAGGTGGGAGTCAGCTAAATATGTGGAATGAGAATCTTAGGATAAATAGGTCTTGCTCTAAAAATGTCTCCATTGACTGTAAGGGGAGCCCAGGTCTCTTGTGACAGAAGTCACTGAAATGAATTCCACTCTGTATGTGAAAATGGGGTAATTACATGCCTATGATTACCATTTATGAATTTCAGAGTTCCCCTGAAAACTTGGACAGAGTTTTGGCATATGTCATTAAAACTCTGCAACAACCGGGAGGAAGCCTCATTTTATTTCCCTCCTAGTGTGGATTTTTTTTCTCCTTTGGAATCCACTTATCCTCACCTAGTAAAAGTGATTAATTTCTAGTGCAACTGAAAAGTCACCACAAATAGCACCAGAGAGTAATACAGCACCTCTAGCACCTGCAGCAACAAATCACCCACATTAGGGCAAATTTTTCAGTGCCATCACTTACTCCAAGTTACCAAAAAGTGGTATTATCCTTTACTACTAGGATATGACCAATGTACAGGGTTTTTTTCCCAAGAACAGACAGAGTTTACATTTGCTTTATTATTCAGTTGTAATTTGAGAAAAAATAATGATTAAACAAGATTAATAAATTCCTGCCTCTCAAACATCTTCCCCAAAATAATGAGAAATGTGGCATTTATGCTAAACTAAAGGAGGCTTTAGGCTGGAAGACTGCTGTCAAAATATAGGCAGCATCTGACTGAACATAGAACTTAGCTGCAGTTAAAATCACAGAATAACAGAACAGGTGAGGCTGGAAGAGACCACAGGGAGTCACCTGGTCCAATTTCCCTACTCGGGCTGGGTCCCCTAGCGCACATTGCACAGGTTGTCCAGACAGCTTTTGAACCTCCCTGGAGATTGAGACTCCATAACTTCTCTGGGCAATCTGTTCCAGTGTTTGGTACCTGCACGGTAAAGAAGTCCTTTCTCGTATTCAGGTGGAATTTCCTATATATCCATTTCTGCACGTTGCCTCTTGTCCTATTTCTTGGTAACACCTGGCAGAGCCTGGCTCCATCCTCTTGACACCCTCCCTTTGGACACTGATAAGACATTGATAAGATCCTCTCTCAGCTGTCTCTTCTCCAGGCTAGATACCAGAAGACTTGAAATGTAAAATGTAAAACATCAGAGGATTTTTAAAAGCCATTGGTTAGATCAGTTTTCTTACTAGTGACAAAATATCTTTTGCCCAATGTGATTCATCTCTACATTCATATTGAGAAGCGTTTTGCACTTGGGCTTAACAGTTGATGTTGCTTGACCACCAGTGGCAATGAAAACTTTAAAAGGCTGCAGAATCACATGTTGGAGCTGAACAATGCTTTTTCAGTTGCAGGAATGTTACTAGAGGAGGAAGATACATAGCTGGTAACCACTGTAACTCAATATTCCATTACCTTAGGAACAGGCAGTAGTGCTCAGAAATTATCATGCACCATTTCCATAATTAGCCTACAACATATCTGAAACTGTTACCAGGTATCAACATAAAACCTGTTTTCCTAAATGCTCATCTGTGAGTTAATCACAGACAAGAAACTGATGCATCCTGACAGCAGATTTAATGACATCATTTTCTTAAAAATGTTTAACTTACCTAATGACAGTGCCTTTGCTGTGGCAGTGGCAACTAACAGAACCATCTAGAAGGCACGTAACACAAACACAAGTTAATTGTTGTTACCTGAACAAAGAGCATGGCATATTATACATTATGCAAAAACATTGCAAAAATTAAAATCTAGCTGAAAGAAACACTTAAAAAATACAGATATTCCTTTTATTTTCTCTATATTTTGCAACTTACAAGCTCGGGGACAGATTTGCCCAGTGAAAGAGAGAAACAGCATCAAAATTCTTTCAATGTCTGCTTTTTTCCCTCAGTCTCTGGACCACTAGACCATGTCATGTCAGCTTAGTTTAACCTATAGGCTAGAGAAGTTTGATGTTTGACATATTCTCTCCTGCTAACAAATTTGAAAACCAACATTTACCATAACCTACAAGTGAGACCATTTTGTTCATACATGCACAGAACCAGTTCAAGTCATTAAGGTGCTATGGTGCAATTTTAGTGCCAAAAAAGAAAAAACAAGCACACATCAGCCACTGCAAAAGCTTCAGCTTGTCTCCACAAGTCTGACTTTGGTCTTTAGCCTGTATAGCAGGTGCTTCATACAGCTTTAGATATATCCTTTTAGGAGATGAAACTGGGACACTGAGATTTCATCACAGTTTTTCGGCCAAAAAAACAAGACTTCATAGAGCTGTGCCCCAGTTTAGTTGTTTCTTTGGGGATGGGTTCTTTGATAGTGTTTTAATTTGAAATCTTTCTTTCCCCACATACATATAGGTGATCACATGCAGGATCACAGGAGAAAAGAAAGGCACTGGAGTAGTTCAAGTGGCTATGATAGCAACCAAAATAACAGCTGGTTATTTTGCACAAGAAGCCAGGTGGTTTCTTGTGCACCCTTTCAGGGCCCTCACGTGAGGCAGTCAGAGCTGCCACTGCCAACTCTGCAGAGGTGCTCTCTGCTCTGCACACTGGTCTCCTCTGTCTGGTGGGGGCTCTGACATGGCTGGAAAGAGGTCACCATGAGGATATTGCTGGAAGAGGAACAGCAGGTGTAGGAAACTAACAGGGTTTACAAACTGTACTGTGCGTCCATACAGGCCATTGTCTCAGGCTCAGCCAAAGAGAAAAAGACACCATTTAGCAGACCTGGGCTCACTACAGGAACTTCAAAAATACCAAGATGTAATGAACCAGAAGGAAGCATTGTCTCTAGGACACTTGGGAGCTTTTAGGGTAAAGTAACAAAGATAATTTGGATAAGGTAAAAAAATTTATTTTGGGTCTGAGATGCCCAAATTTTATGTCATTTTGGGGATCTCTGCCGGTGCTCTTCTGTCATGTTTTATACCCAGACATGACTGTAGTGCAGCAGGGGGCTTTATTCCACAGTGGAGCATGATGATGTGCTATTTACTTGACATACTAAAGGCGAAAGCGGCACTGCCTATGAAATTAATTCAGTTTATCAGCAGGGCAGCAGCATCTTGGCGAGTTAGTACCTGGGAGTTTAAGCATGAGAATCTAATTAAAGTGAGCAAATAACACTGGTGGCATGCAGAGAAGGTGGAGCAGGGGATCCCGGGGTAGGTATGCCCCGCACTGCACAGCCTGGGCAAGCGGCCGCTGTGCTGGAAGAGTGTGGCTTGTACCCGGGGCTGGGTCAGCGTTTGTGCCGACGCTCAGACACCACCGAGCCCTCCCGTGCCGCTGCGCCACCAACTTCTGCGGGTGCGAGTGCCCGCGGCAGAGTACTTCCACCTGGCCTCTTGCTCCTTCCTGGAGCAGGGAAGGAGGGAAAGCCTTTTCAGGCAGGTGAGTGCTCCGCCCGAAGCGCCTCCCCAATAGAATGTGCTCAGGTTGGACTATAGGAGACATTTCTTCGCAGAAAGGATTGCCAAGCATTGGAGCAGGCTGCGCAGGGAGCTGGTGGAGTCACCGTCCCTAGAGGTTTTTAAGGAAAGACTGGACGCGGCACTTAGTGCCGTGGTCTGGTTGACAAGATGGTGTTCGGTCAACGGCTGGACTCGATGATCTCAAGTCTTTTCCAACTCTAATAATGCTGCGCGCCAGGAGGCACCTGAAGCCCGGGGGGTATGAGCAGCATGGGGCCGCGGGCCCGCTTGTCCTGCACGCCACTGGCGGGGAAGCAGCGGGTCCCCCACACGCTTTTGCTCACGCAAGGCACCAGCCCACCCTGAGGCGTCCCGCGCAGCAAAAGAGGATGGCCTGAGAGTGAGCCCCGTTCTGTTGGCGCGCCTGCCGCGCTACCTGCGTCTCTGTGGCCGTGACGAGAGCCCGCCCCGCGCTCATCCGCTCGGCCCGCGGGCGTCTCGGCGGGAGTGTGTGAGGCGGCGGCGGCGGGCGGGGGCGCGGCAGCGCCCGGCACTCTCTGCCTGCGGTCCGGGGACTTTCCCCTAGGCGGGCGCGGGGCCCATGAGGAACAGCGGTCCTCCGTGCGTGGCCTAGCGAGCAGGTCTTCAGAACATCCCAGAATGCCTCAGCAACCACTGCCGGTATATAAACCGCGGCAGGCAGGACAACCTCTAGGGCAGGGTGAGTATTTTTTTTTTTTTTTTCCTTTTACATTGTGTTTGCCTCCCTGTTGGTCTCCCCAGGCGATGCACAGCGGTCAGGTGACCTGGCCGCCCCCCGAGGGGCGCTACGGCCCCGGACGGCCGTGGAAAGCGACGGCGGAGGAACGGAGTGACGCCGGGAACGCGCTATGCAAATAGAGCGCCTCGGCCCCGCCCCGAGCCGGGCGGGCGCGCCGGCCCCCCCTTGTGGCCACAGCCCCAGCGGCCGCAGGCTGCAGCGGGGAGCGGCGGCGGCACGGCCCGCACGGGTCCGCAGCCGGCAGCGGCTAGCAGCAGCCAGCGGGCGGCTGTCCGCAAGGACCCTGCCCTACGCGCTTAGGCCGAGCTAGCACTGCCCAGAGGAAACGGGAGTCACTCTCTGATCTGGCTGCGATTTCCCGTACTTCCGTAGAAAAAACGGGGTCAGTTTTCCTTTCGGTTGGTTGGTTTGCCTTGTCCCCCTGAGACAACTCTGCACACCGACACTCTAAGTGCAGGTGTTCTCCCTGGCCCGTCAGCGGGGTCTGACAGCTAAAGACCAGCATCCCAGTCCCCAGAGACCAGGACAGTACCTGGAGGAGAGACACAGGATTTTAGAACTGACAGGACTGCATAAACAGCTCTTGCCACAGCCACTTCTTTCAATTTCTTTCTTCCTCTAGGGCTAATGAAATGTTAATAAATTCTCATTCAAATACTCGAATAGTGCTTATTCACTTGTATGTGAATCCGTGTGTTTAGCTGCTTTCCATGCAGAATGTGAAATAAAAATAACACACTTCAGCTTTCAGTTTCTGTTAAGAGTAGCTACAGACTTGTTCTTTAATGATTCACAACCAAACATCAAAGAGGAATAACATTCAAAATTTTTTAAAAAGTAATTCTAAGTCAGGTCTTTTAAAAAAAGGCATCTAGCACCTCAGCCTTTTAACACAGTTGCCCTAACAGCCCCTTGAGGTCAGTGAATACTGAGAGCTTTGCTTTACAGACGAGAAACACGGGTTTTCACATTACAGCATGTGCTGCAATTCTGAACCAGAGATCCGGAGATGACCGAACTAACAGCAGAGGGCACAGGATGCAACTCCTGGCTCACAAGCACAGTCCTTACCTGTGTCTACCTGAACAGGGTAAGGACTTGAAAACAGATCTCACACTTCCCATCATGAATATCACAGCTCCTAACCACAGCACGGAGCTTGCCCTGCGCTAGAAGCAGACACCAATTCTTGCACCAAGACGCAATTTAGCACACTGCATTCCGAACGCCAGGTGGTGCTCCAGGAACGCCAAGGGGGAACTCCTGAGAAATCTAACTAGGGCGAAGGGCGACCGAGGGCACAGAAGCACAGGGGTCAGGAGGAAGTTCTCAACCAGCCATCGGGAAGTGCGAGCGCCTTGCAGGCCTCTGGTGCTATGGACTGGACAGCCACTGCTGTTCAAAAGCACACAGGGCACAGCGTAAACACCACTGTGGTTTAGTCCCAAAACTTACAAAAGAACTGAAAGTGGACGCATGTACTACTGAGATCCCAGAAACTCCTATTCATTCCTTTAGCACTTGATCAATGGATCTGTCAGTCAAGTGTAAGGACACCACTAAATGATGCTAACTACTGTAATAGGACAAGATTAATTCAAAATAGCACTGAAGACATTATGTTTTTACAATTACATGTCATTATCCAATATACCAAAACATGCAGTTTGTGCAGGTATTTCAGCAACATTGAAAATAAAAGGTAATCTCCCACTTTGCCTCAAACTATTCTGTACAGGGAGTAAAAATGTAGCAAAGGAAGGGCTTGATTAGAATGAATGCTTTACAATATGCTTGCTGCCTCCAGCAGACAGCAACATTTTCATTTTGCTTACCTTGGTGTTACAAAAGTTGAAATTCATATTCTACAGGTCCCCTCTATTAGTTTTACAGTATTTCAGCTACACATCTAAAGAAACCAACTAATTCTTGTGGGATTACACCTTGAAGTTACTCAATGTAAAGCTTTACTGAAGGTGTTGCAATGTTATTGAAATGGCTGGAATACTTAGTAGCCAAAACCAAAATACTATAGATGCTTATCGCAGAGGTTTTATTGTTCTAGTAGCAGTCAAAATATACTTAGTATAGAAATCCATGTTCATTTGGAAAAAAAAGTACCAAACAAAACTGTAAATGATACTTCACCATATAAATTAAATCTGCTTACAGTTTTGGTGGCCGAAATAGCTGTGACTTGACTGCTAATTGCTAATTTGCCAATGTGATATTAAAAGGGCTCTAACCTGATAGCATAATGTTAAATGGGATCAGGACGTCACTTATATTGCAAGTGTTATGAAAACATCCCATAAAAATAGCCAACCAACTACTTTCTCTCCTAGTATGAGCAACAGTGAACATTATGAGCAACAAGCCTGAAACATATATTTCAAATTTGATTGAAATTTTTAAACAACTTTCAATTATTCAAGTATTATGGTCCCTATGTACACACTTCTACAAGCCTAGAAAAGATATGGTAGACAATTGAGCACACTACCATCAAATTGTAAGAATTACAAAAACGTCAGGTTTTAAACAGCAAATTGTACCTTAATATTTAATTAAAAATAGAAGAGTTAGGTAGACTATTTTGCAAATACAACAGCACACTAGCGTGCTGTATATTAAGGCAATACCTTTAAATGCGCACTTGTCATCTCTAACAAGTTTTATACAATTGCTACCAAGTGAAAGAACTATCATTGTCTTGCAAAACTGAGAAAGAAATACAAAATATCTGGAAGCCTACATTTTCAAAGTACAAAATTAACCTTCAGTCCTTGTGTTGAAACACTATACACAGTACAAACAGTGATTCTCCCCTACAAGATCTCACGAGGATTTCTTAAAGCTGGAGGCAAATTTGAAGGTTTTGACTCTTCATCCAGAAGCACCAAATCTTCAATTTCACTACCTTTGTATTTTCTTTTACATATCTTCACAATAACTTTCTTCTTGAGGAATAATTTCAAAGCTTCTCTTGAAGCCACTGCTTTGGCATTTTCCATACTTTTACCACAGCCAGTACCCAAGTAGACAGACTTGCACCTCAGTTCGCAAACAATATTTTCTAGAGAGCTTTTATTTTGAGGCAAGTCTGCAAGTTCCTTCAGGGGAACAAAAGCAACATCTAACGTAGCTTTTACAGACTGAATAGATGAATTTAGAAGTTCTGCATGATTTACATTAGGACTGAAGCCTCCAACAGCAACCAGTTTCCAGGCTACAGCTTTGTAGAGTCTGTTGAAAAAAGGCTGTCTTTCCTTTGCATCTTCGCTGGTTAGGGGTTTGCACAAAGCCTTCGCAGGGCTTTCAGCTGCCTGCGAGCCACTCTTGGAGGCCAGCAGGGAAGCACCTGCCTGAGCTCCGCCCCGGGAGGGCCCCTGCTGAGCTCCGCTCCGAGCGGCCAGCAGCGAAGCCGCCACCTGAGCGCTGCTCTTGGAAGCGAGCAGCGAGGAGCCCGGCTGCGCACCACTCCGAGCGGCCAGCAGCGAGGCGGCCACCTCCGCGCTGCTCTTAGAGGCCAGGAGCGGGGAGCCCACCTTAGCCGGGCCTTTGGAAGCCAGAAGCAGCGAGGTGCCCACCTGAGCACCGCTCTTGGGGGCCAGAAGCAGCGAGCTGCTCATCTGAGCACCGTTCTTGGACACCGATGCTGGGGCACCCACCTGGGTTTTGGAAGACAGCAATGCAGCACTTGTCTGGGGGGTGCTCTTGGTGGTTGGTGGCACTGCTGCTGCCTGTGGGGTGCTCTTGGTGGTCACTGGCACTGCTGCTGCCACCGCTGCTGCCTGTGGGGTGCTCTTGGAGGTTGATGGCACTGCTGCTGCCACCGCTGCTGCCTGTGGGGTGCTCTTGGCAGCTGGTGGCAGTGCTGCCTCCACTGCTGCTGCCTGAGGGGTGCCCTCGGCAGCCAGTGGTGCTACACTTACTGTAGTTTTCTTTTCGGGTGATGGCACATTTTCACACTTGCTTTCCTTAGGTGGGCTTGAGCAAGGCTTCTTTCCTGGCTCTTTTTCAGATGAAGGTGGCTTTTGCTCAGCAGTACTCTCAGCATTAGCAGGTTTTCCTTCTGTTTCTCTGTCTAAGACTATGACCATTTCTTGATCTGAACTGCAAGTTGACTGGGAAGTTTCTGGATCTTTGCTAGTACCTTTTTCCTGCTTTTTGGGCAAGATGCTCTCTGTTTCCTTCACTCCTTCTGCCTTCGTTGTTTTCACATCCTTTCCAACATCCTTAGAGTCTCTGCTTTTCTCCACAGCTTGTCTCTTGCAGGGCTCCTCTACCCCTTCTGCAAAACAGGTAAAATATGTGATCCTCTTTGATTTCTGCACTATCAAATAACCATGTAGAGAAAAATCAACTAAAACCTTCTAGCAATATTCTCTGTGAATTTAAAGGGTATATATTAGCAATACACCTTGAACCGTCATTTCAAGTATTAACCCACTATTTCAGAATTTTGAGGGTTTTTTTGATAAAATCCGGACAATACTCATGCGAGATTTCAGATGTTGGTTTGGACCCCAGTATGTATTTCTATTCTTGAAGTCCAAACCAAAACTGGCCAACATACATTAAATGTATGTATATCTGATTATTAATGTATATCTGATCTAAAAATAAAGGAAGCTTATTTTGTCTACTAATATCACAAAATATCTTTAAAACATTAGTCTGAGAATTACTTTAAGAAACTCAGTTTCTTACACAGCAACAACGTCTGACTGGCAACAAAGGCAAAGTAACAAGAACATATTTAAGCTGGAGCACAGCAGCCCATATTACAACACACAAGTTATCAGATTAAAGTGCACCAGCTGCAGAAATTCAAAACAACCACTCTACATTACCAAATGACTATGTACGCATTATGTGCATTTTAGAGACATTATATTAGAAAAAGAATAGCAGAGAGAGGAGACTATTAGCGGGAGTTTAAAAAGTAAATTATTTTGACTACTTTCTAAGCCCGAGGCAAACCGAGAACATTCAGAAACAAGCATTTTCTAGACTCCTATGTATTGTCACAGCTATGATCTGCTAACCATTGCTACTTGATATGCCTCTTTTCTTCACCTTGGCAACCAGTTCGTCTCTCGTGGTGCGGACAGGCGCGTTGGTCACTTGGATGCCTTCGGCCATTTCCAGCGCCCTCTCCATGACCTGCGGCGGGTACCTGGAGGGGCGACAAGAGCAAACGAGGGAAGGGGCCTCGTCAGACGGCCGCGCCGCGCCGTCCCGCCGTCCCCCGGCGCGTCCCGCTGAACTCACCGGCATCCCAGGAAGACGTGGTTGGCCCACACCATGGAGAGGGACACCAGGCGCTGCAGCTGGGCGCTGCCCGCCGCCGGCAGCTCCCCCACGTTGCGCAGCAGGAACTCCCGGCGGTACCGCCAGTGGTGCTCAGGCTCGCAGGCCCCGCGCAGCGTGTCCGCCCAGGCCGCCTCCTCCGCCGTCCGCCCCAGGGGCTCGCCCGCCGCCGCCTTCCCCGCCATCGCCGCCCCGCGGAAACACCCGCCCCGCTGCTTCCGCCCGGCGCGCCGTGAGCTCACATCCGCGTGGGCCGGGCCGGGCGGGAAGGGAAGGGAAGGGAAGGGAAGCGGGCGGGTTGGGCCTTGAACCGGAACCGGCTCTGGCCCGTCCGACCCGCGCATCCCCGGGTGCCGGCGGAAGAGAGGCTCTCTGGGCTTGGCTACCGGCCCTGCTTTGTGATGATGAAAGCGTGAACAAAAGTTCTGCTTTACGGGTTGGTTTCTTCCAAGCTTGCTGAGGTCGGAGTTCGTGGGGGACCAGGGTGTTTTACCTCAGAATCACGGAATCACTTAGGCTGTAAAAGTCCTCTGAAATCATGGACTCCAGCCTCTGGCCGAACACCGCTTTGTTACTTAGACCATGGCATAATTGCCGTGTCCATCTTCTTTTAAACATCTCCCAGGGATGGTGACTCCTCCACCTCCCTGGGCAGCCTGTTCCAATGCTTCACAACCTTTGCTGTGAAGAGATTCCTCCTAATGTTCAACCTAAACCTCCCCTGATGCAGCTTAAGACTGTGTCCTTTAATCCTGTCACTGGTTGCCTGGGAGAAGAGGCTGATCCCCACCTGGCTACAGCCTCCTTTCAGGTAACTGTAGGAGACATAGGTAGTTGTTGGAGCCATAAGGTCTCCCCTGAGCTTCTGTTCTTCTAAACAACCCCTGCTCCCTCAGCCACTCCTGATAACACTTGTGCTCCAGACCTTTCACCAGTTTCATTTCACTTCTGTGGCCTTGCTCCACCACCTCAATGTCCTTCCTGCATTGAGTGGCCATAACTGGACACAGCAGTTGAGGTGTGGCTTCACCAGTGCTGAGTACAAAAGGGCAATCCTTTCCCTATTCCTGCTGGCTACACTACTTCTGGTCCAGGCCAGAAAGCCACTGGTCTTCTTGGCCACCTGAGCAAACTGTTGGCTCATGTGCTGCTGATTCATGTTCCACCAGCACCCTCAGGTCATCTTCCACTGGTGAAAGGAAAAGGACCTTCAGGTCCTTTCCCCCTTTCCTCCTCAGTGTTGTCCATACAATCTGATTTGTTACCTGGTGTGCAACAGGACCGTAATTGCATACTCAAGAGAAACAATGATTATTTCAGAGTTGCACAAGCCTGGGTGCTCAGTGGTATTCCACAAATCAAGTATGCTCCTCTGGACTTTCTGTGCCATTATTGCTACACAGAAGTTTGGAGTTAGTTACTTTCCAAGGGTAGCCCCTCTGTTATGGTTGGTTAGTAATTTCCATACAAGTTGTGTAACCCCAGCTAACTTTTATCCAGTGCTCTGGGGAGGGGTCTTCATCTGGGCAGGAGTATTTTGACCTATAGGCATGAATTTTAATATTATATGAGGATAGTTTAGGTGTAGGATACGTGGACCTTGAGTACTTGCCAAGTTAGCAATGTACATGGATGTACAAAGGATGCTAGCTGCTGCCTGTTCCCCTGATTAGGTGTCCTTTCCTGCTGGCTTGCACCAAAGACTTATCCTGACTTAAAATAATGTTGACATATTCCAAGTTTTACAACATTGGCATGTGACAAAAAGGTAGTGACAAGGGCATTGGTTATTGTAGCACTTTTGAGGAAGCATTAAATGAGGACTGCTGGCACAAAGGGTTCAGCTAATTACTCTTGCAGCTCTGTAGGTTGTTTTTAGTTTGCAAAATATTACTCCAGAATTTGATCCAAGACCATCTGAACAATTCTCTGTGAAAAAGTAATAAGCACACTGTGAAAATATCACAAGCTTCAGTCTGCCAAGATAGGGCTTGCTGAATTAGTGCAAAAGAGGAAAGAATTTTGAATTCCAAAGGGCTGTCCCTGGAGAGCTGTATTGATTTTTCCTCCTGAATTAAAAGTCTGGGTTTGCTTAAGTTTTCAGTTTTTAACACCTAACATGTCATCTTGAACTGAACTACAGGATAGAATGTATTGAAGGAAGGAGTATTTCTCCTTAATGACTTAGAGGTCTTATTTTGTGGAAATGATTATGTAGTGGTTTAACTAAGAGTACCTCTACAGAGCAAAAACTAAGGGATTAAGGAAATGAACTCAGAAAAAAGAAGTCCAATGCACTTTTGCTCTTTATCCATTGTTAGAATTGAAATGTTTTTCCTTGCTTTCCTGGTTAGGCCACACAATGTTATCTTGTGCATTGGCAAGAATAGTTCAGTGACAAGGAGCAAGGGAACAGTAATGAATGGGATGGGGCTGACAGGAAGAGAAGGGCAGAAAGTTTGTACCCTCTCTGCTGTGGGTGTCTTGGAGGAATGGGTTTGTTACAAAACAGTGTCAGAAAGTTTAGAAACTGTGGTCACCACCTTGGTTTTCAGGCATTAGTTGTATCAGTCCCACGTGTGGTTATCTTGAAATATAGGCTCAAATACAGAAAGGGCATGATCTGTCACATGAGGGTTTCTGCTTAGAGGTGAGGTGGGCCTGTCTCCTAGACCTCTGGGTCTGTGAACCACAGTTCTTGACTTCATGGTCCATACAGACCTTAGAAGGGAAGGGTAAATGGAATCCTTGGCAAACATAGGTCTAAGTTTGCACCTCAGCCAAGATCATCCATTCTGCCAGCCTGTTTGTTTACGCTCTTCAGTGAACCAGTTTGCTTTCTAATGAAGCAGAGATCTGCCCCTCAGAGACAGCAGGAATTCAACCAAGCCTGAGCGGCTGCAGCAGAATTGTCTGTACTCTTGCAGAAGAAGAGGAGAAAGCAGTGCAGGCAAGAATGTCCCGTCCTCCTCCAACAAGCATCTGAGTTGCCAAGTGGACTAAGGACTAGTCCATGTTGAGCTGCTCATATACTAGTTAAGAGTGGGAGCTGGGGAGGGTTAGATTCCACAGGATGGTGGTAGGAACATTTCATACACTCAGAGGGATCTCCAGAAGTCATATTCTGGTGTTGCTGGGTTAATGACAGCCCAAACCACAGAGACAGGACTCCACACCTCAGGGCTTTGTGAGTGCTTCCACTCATCCCATGTGCATAAGATTGTATGGACTCACCTGTGAGTTCTGGGCTCCTACAATAGAATTGTTCTAGGAAGTGTTGGAGAATCAGCACATTATCTGGTCCTAGAGTGGCTAAAGGACTGATTAAAGAACTTCCTCTTGCCCAGTTTTAGAGGACCAATTAACTGAGAGCCATTTCACCTCTTTGCCCACTGACTATATGTGTGAACACAAGTAATGGTGACATCTGGAGAAAAATCAGGAACAGTTTTGCACACATGTAGAATGGCTCACAACAGTTTTGGTTGTAGTGAACTTCTCTGGTCTGATACCTTTCTGTAACTTTATGCTTTAATTTTGGGTTAGTTTTCTCTGGTGTTACTGCTGCATCAATGTATTGTTGCTAGTACAAAGATGACTTAAAAAAATGAGCCTTTCGTCTTCCATACCTGTTTTTTTTTCCAGTAATTTTCTTTCTACTTTATTAATGTGTGTTTGAATCACACTGGAAACAGGAAAAATCCTACTCCTGGAGTATGGGATGATGTGCACAGACAAGCATACAAGTACTGTATACCTGCAGTACTCTGTGAGGACTAAGAGATATACTGTCTCAGATTGATAAGTGTGTGTATTAGAAAAGAGAGAAAAACACTGCTGTTAATTTTGAAAACAAAACAGGTACTATTTTCATTCTCACCAGGAAAGGCAATTTTGAAGTTAAACACCTCACTGATGGTGTTAATGCTGTGCATTTAATTTTCAACATTGGAAGAAAAGAGATGGTTTTGTTCCCACTAGGGAAGGAACTTCTAAATGCCACGTCGATAGCAGTGTTGTTAAGAGTCATTTGGGGTTTGATAATAGCTGCTTTTGGCAAGATACAACAAAAATCTCAAGGTGAATCATACCAGTGTCTATAAATCACAGTATTGCACCTGCACTTCTTGTATAATAAGTTTATTTGTGCCTTTATAAACCAGTGAATTATTATTTCTTCAAAGTCAAGTCCCACTGAAACATAGAGGGCAGTATATGAGTTCAATTATGTTCTGTGCAGTTAAGTTTAATATATAGTGACATTCCCTACTCAAGTTAATATGTGAACTGTGCCCTTAACATCACACAATGCAAAGAGAGGTCGGAGTTATTGCCACAGAAAGGCAGTAACAGTGCAGTCTGGCCTGGCACAGTAAATCCCCTGAACACCATCTTTGGTTGGTCCCTGCTATAAGTAATAAGTAAACTACTGGAGAGCTCTGGCTTAAGCTCATTAGAAATGCAGTTTGAAGAACTGTTGTTGAAGAGTTTTGCCATTTCCTGATATCATGTTTTGTGTTCTGCTAGAGCAGGTCATTGAAGTTCTCCTACCCAAGCAACGGACAGCACTTCCACAGAGAGGTGTCTGTATGTGCCAAAGTACCCAGTCATTACTGTTCAGTAAATTAATCCTTGGAATAAAAGAAATTATTTGCTAGAAGAGCATTAATTACTATCTAGGCTTGTCAATGGAAACTAGAGTAGATCTGGTTTTTTGTTTCACTACAGTCATGCAGCTGTTCTTACACTACCGTAAGCAGCTCTGGATTACAAAATCATCCACTCTCCTGAGATTGCTCAGCTGAGGAAAATGTATTGAGTAATTACAAAGTATAAAAACTAAGGGTGAAAATGAAGGTAAATTCATAATAATTTTCCTTTACACATACATGCTCTTATTACTAACTTAAATACTATTTTGCATTTAGTAGTACATTATACTTTACATATATAACTGCCTACAATAGGGTTGTCAGTTGTTGTTCTTTAAATAAGTTTGTTAATCTTTAGCTACAGCTAAAGGTAGCGTATCAATTGCTAAATTTTTCTTGCTAAACTATGTCTTAGGTAACATGCCACTTTCTAAAAGTCCACTGCTTGGCATGACATTTTCCCTATTGAGGATGGAAGTTTAGGATGAGTTTACTACTACCAAATATGATCTAAGAAAAAAGGGCTTTTTCTAGGGTAAATTATTGTGGAGGGCTTATATT